CAATTGCATACATCATAGCAGACATTTTATCATTATGTGTACCATGTAAATTGAGAATAAAGATTTGATTAGATGCTATTACATTATGTATAGAGAGAAACTCTCTGGTTCATCTTTGAAGTTGTCTTCTTTTTGGCATACTTTCACGAAGGCGCAATAGTTGCATTTGCTGCCCCATATACAAGCATATATCAGTCAAACATAGTAAAAATAATTAAAAAGTCATACATTGTAACTTGTAACATTGTAAATTGTAACGTACATCTCACTTGTCCCTGTACTAGGACACCTAAAACACAAATTTTTTGTTTGTTTTGAATTTCACAAATTTTCTGTCCCGAATCTACTATAATATCATAACAATGCTTCAGCAGCAGTGACTGTTGAAAGCTAATATGAGGTTTAGGTTGCAAAAATAATTATGTGACACAAATGGCAGTCAACAGGACAATTTTGCATGCAATAAAGTTATGAAGCAATGATAATGGTACCCAACTGGTACATTCTACTTCATTGAATACGTAAAAAAAGTATACTAGAAGAACTACAGTGTATATTGTACGATAATGCGAAAGGTTATATGGTAGTGTCCGTGCAGGCTTACTTGTGTTCCAAATAAGAGGCTTACAATTGTGATGAAAGGATAAACTGTGGATACAACACGCCAATGATGCATTAACAAGTGTCAACTTGAAAGGATATGCAAAACGCAGCGCAATATTCTGCCTCTAAATGCCATGCCACATCGGTAGTGTTCTCGCTGTCTGTCTGCAGCCAATGAGATACATTGTAGTTGTGCACAAGTTGACCTGTAGTTAACACAGCATTCAACATTTTTATTCCAAAAATGGTATATGATGTAAATATCAACAGTTGTTGTCATTATCTACATTTACAATACCATTAAAAATTTGGTCACTATGTTGGTATAACTACACCAAGACTTTTTACTACATGTTCTAGCCAATATGAATACTGTAAATCATGAAATGATTTTAATTTCCATGGCGACCTCACAAAAAGCTACCAACTCTAGCCACCATCACAAAATCATGGTGCTAGGAATATTTGTTTCCTTTGTATTAATACTGTACAAACTTAATGCATTTATGTGCTATGGGTAAAAGAAAGCTTACAGAATTTTCTTAAATGAGTAAGAAATAGTCAACCAAAACCTCCTGGCATATGCGGTACAGCATGTCTTCTCTCCACTTGGCTTCACTGTGCTACAAGAAAAATGAAAGGGTATTGTTTGTCTTTGGATGCCTACAAAATTGTGTATTTCCAGCACCGGGGACAGTTGTGTTGTGGATGGTGTTCAGCACCAAGAATGTGTGTTTACCTGTGTGTGGATGGTGTTCAGAACCAGGGACAGATATGTTTGTATGTGTATGGTGTTCAGCAATCAACACCAAGGACAGGTGTGTTTATCTGTGTGTGGATGGTGTTCAGCACCAAGGACAGGTGTGTTTACCTGTGTGTGGATGGTTTTCAGCACCAGAGACAGGTACGTTTGTGTATGGATGGTGTTAAGCACAAGGGACAGGTGTGTTTATCTGTGTGTGGATGGTGTTCATCACCAGGAACATTTATGTTTGTGGGTGGGTGGTGTTCAGCCCCAGCAAGGACAGGTGTGTTTACCTGTGTGTAGATGGTTATCAGCACCAGGGACAGGTACGTTTGTGTATGGATGGCATTCAGCACCAAGGACAGGTGTGTTTATCAGTGTGTGAATGGTTTTCAGCACCAGGAACATTTATGTTTGTGGGTGTGTGGGTGTGTGGATGGTGTTTAGCACCAAGGACAGGTGGTTTTACCTATGTGTTAATGGTATTCAGCGCCAGGAACAGGTATTTTTGTGCATAGTTTTCAGCACTAAGGAGAGGTGGGTTTACCTGAGGATGGTGTTCAGTACCAAGGACAGGTGTGTTTGTATGGTGATGTGTTCAGCACCAAGAACAGGTGTGTTTGTGTGTTGATAGTGTTTAGTATTTAGAAACTTGTGGCAAATATGTATAAAGCATGGTCTGACTCAGACCATGTAATGATCATCTAGGCTAGTGTAAATGGTGGCTCGAAAACATTTAACTGACTTATAAACTAAATATAAAGGCAAAGGATAAGAATGGCTGCACAAAATGGTTAACGTTACTATAACAAATAGCCATGCCTACCAAGTGTAACGGGCTGGGAGAAAGTGGTGCTAAATATTCTCTCATCTGGGAATCTCCTTCAAAAATGTCCGTCATTTTGCTGTTCAAAACCTGTCGAAACAAAGGAAATTTGAACAGCATCTAAAGATAAAGCTGTTTGAAGTATTTCAGGTTTACCTCCTAGCTTGAATACTAGAGAGGTTCACTAAATTCCTGCATATAAAGTGTTTGCAAATGCGCCATGTTAACCAATTTTCCCACCAACACCTGGTCACCGAGATTCATTTAATCATTATGACGTCCTACTTGGCCACTTTTTCACATATTTAATATCGCGTCAAATAGTACCAAAATCACATAACATTTCCTCAGTATTCAGTACTTAAGGCACGAAGAACGTATTCTCGAGTTCTCTGAGCAAAATAACTAAACTTCAGGTAAATTCATATCGTCAAACGAGAGGAACTCAAACTGCGTCAAATGTAAACAACAACAGAGTGCATTTAAAAATGTCCGTCGTGGTTTTCCTACAAATTATGAAAAATACCCCAAAGGACAGAAAATTACCACAGAATTTAAGGATAAACGTACGAAACAGTTGTCCAAATCTGTTGTGAACAAATTAGAGGTACTTTTACGCTAAAAACTTCGCCGAGAAATAGCAGAAAATTGCTCAACAAATTTATTATCTTACTTACGTCACACACGTCAAACCCGACTCGGCTGCTCAGTTGTCGCTTCTTGCCTGCACTTTTGTCGTCTTTTCGGTAAAATTACCGTAAAATGCCCCGTAATTTTTCATCCTGCCGGTTGAACAAGACCTTAACTGCATATTCTGACGAAAAATACACACAAAAATCTCAAAAATAATGTTTTTTAAACATTTTAAAACAGAGCGTCCAAATCCTCGTCGTAGAAGTTGAAAAGTCGCGCGCGTGGTTGGTAAAATGACGTCATACGGCCAGTGGAAAATTACTAAAGATAATTTCTAACAAATTTTGTTGTTTTTCGGATTTTATTACAATTTCTCGTTTGAGAATATATTTATCATGGGTTAGAAATATTGGCGTCTTTCTTGAATTATATTTTTTAAAAAGTTTTCGAAACTGGTATCTACCGGAGTTTGTTTTAGGTCCCACACCGGCGTTTTCAGTAACATTTACAGAGAAGTTGCTTTGAGTTTGAGTGCAATGCGGCTTCGCAACGGCTCGCGAATATTGTTAACCTCTCTGGCCGCTTTGGTGGAGACACTAGTAAACTTCATGTTACATATTCTAAAATCAAGAAGCATTTTGGTATGGAAGATTATCTCACATCAATTCATAATAAATCGTTCGCAACAAAATTGAGAATCAGCACGCATTGTCTTCAAATTGAAAAAGGTCGACACCACAACACACCAGCCACTCAGAGACTGTGTCCCACATGTAATGAGAGTATCGAACATGAATTTCACTTTGTTATGACTTGTCCCACCTATAGAAAAGATTAGAGTTTGCAATAATCTTTAATATTATCTGCATCCTACAGATTCATAATCTATGATCGATCATCTCTGTGACGTTGTATCCAAACATTTACAACAGTTACTATATACTATCTTTTCTAATCAGATGGACTAAATACATGTTGTATATTACTAATTGTCACTATATGATTTTGTAGTGCTTTAGGAATACTGAAATAACATTGAAATCTGGTAGCCTGGAATCATGTGAAGCATTCACAGATGGATTCCAGGCTAGCAATCTGGACCTACCAAATTGTGACATTTAGGCCACACCAATCTAATTTGTTGGTTCTCAGATTCGCCTCTTCGTTTTTTTCTGATTTGCAAAAAAAATAAAAATATGATTCTGGTTCTGAATCAACTGAAAAATGTTCATGTTTTGCCCCCAACAGTTGAGGATAGTCCTTTTCTTCCTAGTTACCCTCCATGTAAATGGGGGGTATTGTTTTTACTCCGTTTCATGTTTGGTCTGATATCTGAAGATCGGTGAGAAGGAACTGTATGATATTTGGCAGATTGATGGATGGGGCCTTGGAGATTGTGTAGGTTGACTTTGAGCACCTGGTGATTGACCTTGGTACTGCAGTTTAATTTTTTTATTTTATTGTTGGCACGTTATGGTCCGTGTGTGCGATGCTAAGGTAGCATGTAGTTGTGGTTACAATGGTTTAGTGATGTAAATTTGGGCCCCCTAGCTGTTTGCTTTGAACCGGAATTGCTATCTCAATGTCAGATTGTTTGCGTTGAATGATCTCAGAACCCGGTGGATGGTTGGCGATCATTTTTGGTATGTGGGTAGACGCTGATTGTCTTTGCGTTTTAGCGTGCATTAGCAGGTTGTTGTAGATTTGCATTGCTTATTTAAAAGGATTTTCACATTTTCACCCCTATTTCATAATAGGATGGTCTGTTTGACCCCAAATTGGTACAGAGTGTTTTTGTTTATACGTCCAGCTGGCAGGTCAGGCCAATCTATTTTTACCTCTAGACCGTCTGCAGGAAATATATCTTATCTTTAATTGGTCATTCAGCAGGGAACTGGGTCATCTGTGGTTTGTTAATATGTAACAATTGTGCTTGAGAGGTCATTGACCTCAAACAAACCATGGTAACAAGACACTAAACGCCTGCACATGACAGCTTGGGCAACCCTTCCAATACGAAGTGCCACAACAAAATTCTTAAAGGATAGACATCTATAGACATCTATCATTCTGCTGATAAAAACAAAGTTTGACTCATAATATCTCTATTAAAATACA